GGTGGTGCATTATCATCTCTTAAAAAAGTAGCTGATCTTGCTAAACTTGCACATACAAGTACATCATTTGCAGAACGTTTAGAAGAACAAAAGTACAGTATTCCTCTTGCTAATCGAACTCGATGGAATTCACAATTTCAAACTGTGAAGAAAGTTATTAGTATTCCATCCTTCATTCTTAACTCCATTCTAACTGATTTAAAAAAAAATAATCTTATTCTTAATACTAAAGATAGAAAAATTTTAGAAGATTTTGTTTCTTTATTTGAACTGTTTAATGAAGCTACTGTTCTAACACAAGGTGAATTTTATGCTACTGTTAGTCTTGTTGCACCTACTATTCTTGGTATTCTTTTTGATCTTGAGCGTGAACATGCTTCTTCAAATTTATCTCTTGTATCTGTGTGTGAAGCACTTCTTTCATCTCTGAAAGCTCGATTTAGTGGACTTCTTCGTCATTTCGAAATTGATGTGCCATTTGCTTTTTATTCCATGTCTGAACGTTTTTCTGATCCTATCTTTCTAATTGCGCCACTTCTAGATGCACGTTTTAAGTTGTTATGGCTCGATAATCTTCAATTTGCGATAAAGTTACGTGTTATCGAAAAAATTTACAGTACTTTTGTTCGTTTTTTCTCAAAATTGAATTTTTCTGTATCACAACCAGAAGGAGCTGATGAGTCGAACGTAGCTGAACAAGATATTACTGATATGATGACCAAACATGTTGATCCAACAACAAAAAGAAAATGTCTTTTTCCTTACTTAAATGATACAAAAAAGATTTCATTTGATGACAAATCGAAAGTTTTGGTAGAGCTTGATGCTTTTCTATCGGAAAGAAGCAATGAAAATAATTTACTTTTTCTCAAGGAAAATCTTTATCCTTCTCTATATGAGCTTAGTCTAAAATACTTGCCAGTACCGGCTACATCAGCTCCTATTGAAAGAATATTTTCTAAAAGTGGTTTTATTATGCGTCCACATCGCGCATCGTTAACCTCAAAAAATGTATGCTTGCTTACTTTTCTTAAATGCAATAGCGTTTTGTTGTAATTTGATTGTTTAAAACTTTATGACGAAAAAAATAAGAATAAACATATTTTGATTCATGACTTTAACAATGTTTCGATCTCAAAATTAATACATCATTATTAAAACTATCAATTAAATTTTTTCTAATGAGATCTTACGAAATTCACTCTTATGTACTCGTACTCGTACTCGTACTCGAGAGTTTGATACTCGTACTCGAGAGTTCGATACTCGTACTCGAGAGTTCGATACTCGTACTCGAGAGTTCGATACTCGTACTCGAGAGTTCGATACTCGTACTCGTACTCGAAAAAGTCCGTACTTGCCAAGCTCTGCTTTCATGTAAATTTGACAACTTTCATTTTTTTGACCCATAAACAAGAACTTCGATCCTCTGACACTATCTGAAAAATGAGAAAAAATGAAAGTTGTCAAATTTACCTGAAAGACACTTCAGCTGAATCAATTTTTTGTGCTGATTCTGGATCTGCATTTAATTTTTGACTAAAAGCCTTTTTGAATTCGAAAACCGTCAAATACCACCTAAAATGGCTATGGTTCTGGTAAAACCGAATTTTCTCAACACAGGAAAAAAAAGAAAGAAAAAGCGATGCATTAGTTTTTGGCTAGGGGTATGATGAGTCGAAGGAGATAAAATATTTGGCTCCATCACTTACGTGGAGAAACTAGATAGGTTTACAAAATCGACCTATACCAAGTGGACTCGACGCGATTCGAAGCGCCACCACCAGTAGAGTTTTGGGTCTGCAGTCGTTTTAACAACATTTTTATACTCAGTTTTTGATGGTGAATCTGAAAAAATTATTTTCAGAAGCCAAAAAAAGAAACAAAGTGGAAAATTTTGCACATTTTGAGAAAAAATGTGTTTTTCTCGAAAGACGACATTTTTCGAGTATTTCGTATTTTTTGACCGGAAGGAAGCATTTGCTAAGGCCAAAAAGTAGTTTTTCGTAATCGGCAGCTCAAGCTCTATCCGATAATGTGAAAAATACGCGAAAAAAATTTTATACTGAAAATTCGCATTGCCTGCACCTTACAACATATGTGTTTTCGGTTTTTTTTCTGTAGCAAAAAATGACCATAAGAAACAAAATTGGAGTCTGACAAAAAAAAACGCTGATGATAGAGATGTTCATCGAGGCTTTGTCGTCATGGCGATGGAGGTGTGGTAGCAGCACGGACGCTTTTCTTTTCTATCGTTGCGATTCATCTAAATTGGCAAGATATATATTCAAAGGCGGCGGACCCATTAGGCTTGGGGAGGCTCAAGCCTCCCCTAAAAAACGGAGAAGAAGGCTTAGGGAGGCTCATTTAATTTGAAAAAAAGTTGTAGATCTCATCTTTAATGTAGACACGATTGGCAAAATTTCGATCGATTGTTCTTTAATACTTAGTCTATTGCTCATGAAAATTAACAAAATGATTAAAAAAAACTGCTAAAAAAAGGCAAATACGACGCAGAATCTTGATTGGTGACAAGTATCGCATGAATTTTTAAAATGTATATTAGGGTGATCATAAGATGGCGCTCATATACATTCCTCATTTTTGAAATAATATTTGGTCTATTTCTATTGGCGGATCGTTTATAAAGAGGAATAGTCAAGGTATCCAACAAATTCATGGTGACGACGTCTACTTTGGCGATCATTTAAATTTTTAACTATCTCGTCTCTTTGATTGTATTAACGATTTTGAAATTTGAAAAGAATAATAATATTTTGTAACACCAATTGTGAATGTCGAGTAAACAATATCAAATTACGTCTTTTTTTCAAAATAAAAAGCAAAAAACAGATGCAATTACTGATAATCATGCAGATAGTTTGAATATTCCATCTATTGATTTAGTTGATCATGCGGAAAGTGTAAACTTATCTAAAGAATTTTTATCAACAGAACCAACAGAAGCTTCATCTGCCATCACAACTGAAAATAAAACAAAACTAAAATATAATCTTCTTTGTTGCATGTCTGACACTCGTTATATTCCTGAAAAACAATCACATCTTAAATCGACAAGTGACAAACGTAATTGCCAGTTAGGCTGGTTCACTAAATATAACTGGCTTTCCTACTGTAAGGTAATAAAATAAAAGAACATCTCCTGATTTTAAGCCCTAAACTCCTACTCAAAGACCTGTTCATTATCATTTTTTTTTGCTTTTAGAGTAGTGAAAAGGTTTATTGTTTTTATTGTCGTACAGCATATCAAAATAAATATCATCCACAAGCTAATAAAATGGCTGATTGTTCATTCACAGTCTGTGGTTTTGATTATTGGAAAAATGGTTTAGCCAAATTTGAAAAACATGAAAGCAGTCAATGCCATGCTGATTGTATATATTTGGTGAAACAACAACAGCAACAACCAGTAGCAGCACAAATTAGTCTAACCCATAAAAGTCAACAGGTTCAACGATGAAAAATGCTTTTAATTCAAGTACAAGCTATTAAATTTTTATTACGTCAAGGTTTAGCTTTACGTGGTCATGCCGAAATAGAAGGAAATTTAATTCAATTGTAAAAACTACGACAAAGTGATGCTAATGAATTATCAACATGGATAAGTGAAGGAAATTATTTATCTCACGACATAATCAATGAAATATGTGAAATTATATCGTTAACTATTGTTCGAGAATTAGTGAAAGAAGTAAGAACAACTGTTGATTTTTCTCTATTATATTGAAATAAAACATAAAATAGCTAATTACCACTGGGATGGACATTTAGAATTAGAATCGATATGTTTCCCTAATGAGTTGCAAGAACAAGAAGAAAAAGTGATAGATTCCTTATTAACTGATGTTTATTAGTTAAACTGTTCTCTGTAAAGAATACTATTTATTCTTGAAAACAAATCTATTGAATTAGTTGCTATTTATCAGTCTGTCGTTTAGATCAAATCTCGTAGATTTTATAGTATAATATGTGATGAAACAACTGATTCAACTGGTAGTGAACAAATGTGTTTTACAATAAGATCAGTGGACGATCAGTTCATTGTTCAGGAAGATGTTATTGGTCTGTATCAATTAAATTCTCAGCATGCTGAACATATTACACAAGTGATATTGGATATATTAATTCGATGTGATTTAGACATCAAATTTTGTAGAGATCAAGGCTATGATGGTGCTGCAACAATGTCGGGCCATCTATCCGGTGTATCTGCTCGAATTAAAAATTTGAATCCAAAAGCTTATTTTGTACATTGTAATGCACACTCATTAGATCTTGCATTACAAGATTTAACTTGTGAATCACCATCTGTAGCATCTGCTTTAAATATAACGAAAGATATTGTAAATTTTATGAAAAAGTCTCCAAAACGATTACATTTTTTAGATTCATTAACAGAACTGAAGAAGTATTCAAAATTGAAGCCATTATGTCCTACTCGATGGACAGTGCGAGCTGCATCTATGAATTCATTGATTATTAATTATGATTTAGTTGAAACATCTTTAAATGAAATTATTTCTGAAGGTGGTCCACCTTCTATCATGGCAAATGGATATTTTGAGCAACTATATAGATTCTCTACATATTTTGGATTGAAATTAGGTAATACAGTTTTCTTTATTCTTCATAGTCAAACAGAGAAGATTGGCAACAATTTTGATGGTCATATTACTTTTTTCCTCTGAAACACAATGTAAATAAAATAAATAAAATAGTGAATTGAACTATTCTCACAAGAATACTAGAGTAATTCTGTTGTTCTCTCCTCAAAACTGCTAGTTCTAAAATATCTAACTTTGCTGTAAGAAATAAGTTTTTGTAGAAAGAAAAGAACAAAACACTGAATGTACAGCTTGAATACGTAAACACGCATTTTTCTTTTTTTCTCTAGGTCATTTGATATTTTCTCCTACTGAAGAAATTTCATGCTCATTACAACGTATTGAAAATTGTTTACAAGATGTTTTATGTGCAATTAAAACACTAATAGGTTATTTACAAAGAATTAAATGTATTGAATATTTCAAAACGTTCTATGAATTAGTGCTAAAAGAAGCTGAATTATTAACTGAAGAACCTGAATTACCACGTGTTAGAAAACCACCTCAACGATTTGCTGATACAATACGAGCACCAGTAGTGTATCAAAACGTTTTTGATATGTATCAGAAACAATACTTCAATGTCATTGATAAAGTTTTAATTGGATTAGATTTACGTTTTCAACAGTCGGTGTTTCCTTTGTTATGTAAAGTAGAAAAATTTATTCTTGCGGCGGCAAATGGTACACAAGAAGAAGCTGATAATTTAAATATCCGCAATATTGCTGAATTTTTAACTGATGATATTGATATTCTTCGTTTACAACGTGGAATAAATATGATACCCGATTATTTTTCAGTTATTAATTTAGAAAATAATTTTGGTATTAAGAAAATTACTAAAATTCAAACTATTTGTGATCTTCTCAATGTACAATCTGTTGGTAAATCTATGTTCTGCGAATACACAACACTAATACGTCTGTATTTAACCGTTCCTGTAACAACAGCGACAGCTGAACGTTCATTCAGTACTATGCATCGAGTAAAAACATATCTTCGATCAAGTATGACACAGCAGCGTTTAAATCATGTAATTATACCTCATATTCATAAAGAAAGATTAGATGAACTAGACTTAAATAGTATCTGCTCTACATTTATTTCAAGAAATCAGAGTAGAAAATGTTTTTTTGGTTGTATTTAGTGTTTTTTATCTTTGTTTTTGTTTGCTCTACTCTCCTGAAATTTGCTTTAGGATTTTTGTGTTCTTATTGATCATTTTCTGAAAAATAAATATTACAGTAATATTTTTCATTATTTTACAAGTTTTGAGAAAAGTAGAATCAGAAGTAAATTATCAACAGACCACCTATTAGTACCAGATTTTTTTTGTTTTTAATTTTACCTCTCATCATCCTCATCCTCTGAAAAAAATTTTGAACCTCCCATAGATTGAAATCGTTCCGCCGCCGTTGTATATATTAGAAAATCAAAACCAATAACACCTGGTAATACTTACATAAACAATCAGCATATTCGTTTTTAAGTAATACAAACAATAGACTATCAAGTGATCGTTTTTCTTATGTCATTGAACCAAATCAAAAGAACTAATCTTGTTTATTTTCTTAAATTTCTCTTGCAAAAGGCAATTTTCTCATCATACACTGAAAAAGCCTTATTTTACATGGAGGAATACCTTGCCTCTGGATGATACGATTAATAAAATATATATACACTTTTCTTTGTATATAGCTATTAACTATTGAATAAACGCAAAAGCCTGTTTTGAACAAATTGGATACTTATTGGAGTGTTCCGACCGGGAGGAACTCAACTTTGAAAAATTTTCGTTTTTCTACAGCGTTTTATTGTGTTTTTCTCCTTAACAGTTTCCAAAAACACGCTTCACTTCCCACCAAGACGACTTTGAGACTAGAACTCGACGTGACCAGAGAGAAAAAGATTGTTTGATAATAGTTTTCATGTTGGATGTGAAAAATTAATTCTAATTTGATTCATTGTATTCAGGATTTTCTTCTCTTCAAAATGATATATCAATTCTAATCACAGTCAGTCACAGTTTGTATGTCGTAATTATTCTTTCACATCTAACATGAAAATTATTATCGAAGAATTTTTTTTTTCTTTGATCACGATTCAATAATTAAGCTGAGTTCTATTCAGGATACATCTGGTTATACAAAAACTAAGGAAATCAATTTAATTAATGGTTTTTTGACAGAAGTTTATAGCAATCTTAAAATAGTATGATTATTTAAGCAACCTATGTATAAAGCCATCGACACATTAGAAGACCCCCCCCCCCCATTAGAAGACCCCCCTTGAAAAAATAACGCAAAAGACATATTAGAAGCCCCCCCCCCCCCTTAAAAAATCGACATTTTGAAATAGTTTCTGGAGTTTATTGACTTGTTTAGTATTTAAGCCCAGAATGATACCGAAATTCAGTATGAACAATATTTTGCATCCTCCCTCATAACGAAGTATTAGACTCGAATGAGTAAAGTCTAGAGAAGCAGTTAATAGGAAGCAACTATCTATTGAAGATTGCGTTTCTTTGTAAAAACGTATCATGGAGTCATTTTAGTACTCCTTTGCAGCTTACTTTGAATACATTATTCAGGCTCTATGCACGAAAAACACGCTTCCATAGTCATAGGATCTAATGAACGCAGTGCCCGTTCGTGCATGTAACATGTGAAGGGATCTTTGTACAATAGTAACAGATTAGGTAAAGTGCCGCTTTGTATTAATTAAAAGATCTTTTCATCTTTGACTTTCCTCTAGAAAATCAGAAAAGTTTTCACCACAAAACAGTCTTTCATAATTGAAGAAAACATAACTTCATGCACAGTCTACACAAAAATTTCTGGGACACTGAAGAATAGTTCTGCAAAATTTTATATTTCATTTGAAGCAAACTTTATATATATTTTAAGTATAGTTACGGGTTACAGTTTTATATAATATTCAAACTAGAAGTTTTGCGTCGGTAGAGTAAAGTACGATAGTTTAACCAGTAATTATGCTTAAAAAATATATATAAAGTTTATTTCAAATGAAAGATGAAATTTCAGAGAGCCATTCTTAAATGTCCCAGAATTTTTTGCGCAGACTGTATAAACGTCGAGATTTGATATGTGAGTACTTATTTTGAGTTTGAGAACGCATTTCTTTTTTCAATAAGATTCAATGACATTTTTTGAAACAGACGCAAAAGAAAACACAGTGTCTGTATTCAACTGCTGGTTTTTTATAGATGGTTTCTTCACAAGACAATCGTATTCATTGAAGTTAGCTTGAGATTAATAACTCTGCTAGTAGCAGAATCCACTGTGAATAGATTCCATCTATACTAATCAAATCTCCACATAAGCAACCGAATAAAATGAGTTTGATAAAAAAAAATTAATTTTCTTTTTTACATTTATTTAGTTATTGAGAAGGTAAAATGTTGCCAATGATAAGTCTTAGCCTAGAGAAAAAAGAACGATATGGGATATTGTACCAAGATGCTAGGCTACATTGACTATATTGTTCTAAGAACACTTCTTACCAACGATGGTCTCCCATTTTTCACAGGATGATATCTGTTTCTTTCTTTTTCTACACATGTGAA